CAGTAGATGACAGCCTTGGAGACCCAGCAGGGAAGTTGTGCTCTACCCAGCCCTGCCCTGCCCTGCCCTGCCCAGCCGTGGATTGGTTTTTTTGGTTTTGGTAGCGGTGAGGGAAATGAAACTCATGTTTCCCACTTCGCAGAGGTTAAAACTACCTTGAAACTACCTTGAGTTTCTTTGTGTCTTTACTTGGTGTCCAGGCTACCTAGAGCCAAACAGAAATACCACAAAGGAGCGTCTCCAACAAACAGAAAGGTATTTTCTTAGCCTGGCAACAGAAGGGGCTGGAAGCCAAATCCAGGGCACTGGCTGTGGGTGGGAAGGCCCATGTCACTGCTGAGCTTCCTATTGGGGAAGCCTTCAGGCCCTCCCTCCATCTCTGCTTCTTGGTTTGCATATGACAATCTTTTTTTTCTATCTCAAAAGAGATTGACTCAGGATACAACACATCCTGCTTCATTAGGCTAAGAAAGACACCCTCCTCCTAATGCGATTACAGATTCTGTGCCTGTTGTGGTTGTGTGCGCCCTGGAGTCACCAGCAATTCCTAGCGATCCTATGTACAACAGCTCTGAACCTACCCTATCCTGAGTCACTCTCTCTGTTTTGGACACACTTACCCTCATTATCCTGGTCACTGTGTCAATCCATGTCGTCCAGGTCTTCCTCTTCTGCGCTGTCTCTCCACCCTTCCAAGCATGATGTCCTTCTGCAAGGACTGGTCCCTCCTTGCAGTGTGCCCAAAGTATGTGAGACGGGGCCTTTAAATCCTTGTCTCCAAGTACAGCCTGGTTTCATTCGCTCTAGGACAGACCTGTTTGTTCTCTTGGCGGTTCGTGGAATGTATGTTCCGTCTTCCTCTTCAGCATCACAACTCAAAGGCATCAAATATTCCTCTGTCATAGTCGACTCTTGTCCAGTTAACTGATGCATAGCAAGTAATTGCAAAGAGCATGGGCTGGATCAGGCCTAGAGGTTAGGATTTATAGCATAACGCAACGCACAAGATTGTATAAATGTAAAACTTTATGTTCCAGGAGAGGAGTTGGCAATATAAAGAAAATACTAGTAAATTGGGTTTGGTTTTCTGTTTGTTTTTTAAAAAAGAAAAAATGCAGAAGTGTTCCTAACCAAAAAGCACAGCTACCAACCACAGTGAGTCACCCAGGAAGTCAGGGCTTTGGGGGGAGACACTTGTAATGATGGATGTGGGGTTTGTACAGACTGAACCTGGCGCCAACTCTTGTGAAGTTTCCATTTTTTAAAAAAAATTATTATTACATTTTATTAGTTTTAATGAACATTTACAGAGATTTTGGGTTCTCATTCATTCATTGTTGCCCTGTTTTCTCTACCCTCCTCCCCAGTTCGTTCTTCTTCCCCCCCCCCCCGAATGTCTGTTTTAATTGTCCAATTGCCACAGTGCTTGTCAAAGTCAGTTCTGATTAATCTCCTTTGTCAGTGTGTCCTTTGCCATTCCCTATCACTCCTCCCTGAGAGAGACTTCACCCTGATTCATAAGGAAAAGGGGATGGCGTATTCTCTTAGCTACTTCCTGCTGAAAAGGGATGCTGTGGGTTTCAGGGTGAAGATCTTCTCTCACTACTCTAAAGGGCCCCTTTGGCAGTAGGAAACACATAGACTATTATGGAGATTGATTTTGAAATTTAGATGCACTGTTATTAATTGTGCTTAGCCGTACATGTTCATATCCTTGAAGATGTATCATGGAGGTGTTGCAACCTAGAAGACAAAAATTTAACTAATAAGTTAAAAGTACATGAGTCAAAAATTAACAAGCAGTAATATTCCGAGTAGAGGTTCTAGTAGTGGCACAAATCAAGTTACAGAGGGAAGGTGGTTCTTACAATAAAAGGCCTATAGACTAGCACTCTGTCTATTATAGTGTAGAGGTTAGAAACCACAAGATGTAGAGGCTCAGCTATGTCATTTATGCTTCTTAAGTCCTGGAGCAAATTCCATCTACCACTGGGCTGTTTTACATGAAGTTTCCATTTTAAAACTAATCTCGCCAACCCTGTGAGCACATGTGTTGTCAAGAATTCATGACCAAAAAAAAAAAGAATTCATGACCCCGCTGCACTGCAATCCCAGAGGTACGCAGTTCGAATCCACCGGATTCTCTGCTGGAGAAGGAGGGGCAATCTCCTCCAGTACCAGTCAGATCTGATTTGATGGTACACACACACAAAATAATAAAATGAAATTTTTTAAAAATTAAGGAATTCATAACTCAAACTGGAAGGCCAAAACCTGATTCCAGAAAATCCCATGTACCCTTTTTCTCTTTTGGGAAGAAAAGTAGATTGCTGCTTCCGCCTCCCTCCACCCACTTCTGTTTCTGCTTTATGAAGGGAAGGGTAGCAGTGGTCGTGGAGAGCCCACAGCCTCTTCGCTCTGTATGACACATGGGTCTCTGTTGTTCTCTCACCCTGACCCCAGTCTCATCCTTATTCAGAAAAGACAGAGTTTTCCACCTTTTAGAGGATAGTTTCTTAGAGGTTAAATGTAACTGTCAATCAAACATGTGCTTAAATTTACATCTCTCTGTTCTCTACGAGTTCAACTCAGTGAGCCTTCTGTGGGTTCTCAAGGTTAAAAATCACATAGAAGAATTCACACTTATGTTTATTGTGGCTTTGTTCACAGTAGCAAAGAGTTGGAAACAACCTAAGTGCCCATCAACATATGAATGGATAGAGAAGCTGTGGTATATTCACACAATGGAATATTATGCTGCACTGAAAAACAAGGAACTCATGCAATATCATTCAAAATGGGTGACCCTGGAGGACCTTATGCTGAGTGAAATATCTCAGTCACAAAAGGACAAATACTGCATAGTGCCACAGTTGTAAAACAGGACTGACATCAGGGTAGAGGGGAGACTGAGAAAGATGGGATAAATTATGTATACTGCATTGAAACAGATGAGGGAGAGAGCTGTTTAAAAGGGATATGTGGTTAGGTATTGTCATGACAGGAGTCCAGAATGAAGGCTGCATAGTGGAGTGGACTTGGTGGGAGGGATTGTATAACAATGAAAGATTTTTACTTTTCAGAGAGAAGGTGGGGGGGAGGGCGTGGGCAGGGAGAGTACAACAATAAATGAATGGAAATCCAAAGTCTCTGTAAACTTTCATTAAAATTAATTTTTTAAAAAGTCACATAGGAGAAAACCACTCATCTTTCTCCCTCATAGCATCTGGTGGATTCAAGCTGCCAGCCTTTGGGTTGGTAACATAACTCCTTACCCATGAGGCCACCAAAGCGCCTGTGTTCTCTAAAGGGTGAGATTCCTCCCCAGGGCCTGGCTTGCTCTCCTCTTTGGTGGCGTGCTCCATAGCACATTGTACCTCTCTGGTGGTTCACATCCGCCAGAGCTGCAGCAGAAAAAGATGGACAGTCCCCGCCCACTGCAATTTATCGCTCGAAGATCCTGTGGAGCTGCGCCAAGTTGACGCTAACCCCACACTAAAGTGAGCGTGCCGCCAGGCCGGAGACGCTTGCTCTGTGTCCCTCCAGTTTAGAGCTGGGGCGTGGGATATCAGCTGGGCTGATTTAGAACTCTCCCAGCTCCGTGTTGAGGGGCTCATGCTGAAGGGCTGTGTCTGCTGCTGGGTTGCAGGCTGAGCACAATCTCACGGGGTGACCCCACTGCCACCAGCCCTCCTCAGCCCACGTGTCATCCAGCCGCAGACCCGATGAGGTGGGACCAGAGACACTGTTCACAACAGCAGGGAGACATCCCTGGGCTCCGTCAGCTCCATCACACGGATGGCTGTGGTTCAGCCATACAGAGAAATGCAGCTCTGGTGGCTTACTGGTAAGGAGTTCCACTGCCAACCCAAAGGCTGGCGGTTTGAATCCACCAGCTACTCAGTGGAAGAAAGGTGGACAGTCTGCTCCCCTGTGATTCACAGCCTCTGAAAACACACGAGAAGGTCAGCGGTGAGCTGGTTCCGGTTTGATAGCACATATAACAAGAACATTCATGCTACATCATGGATGAGCTGTGAACCCAGTATGCTGAGTGAAGTAAGTCAGGCACAAAAGGACAAATACTGCCTGCTCCCAATTCTGTGAATTAACAAATGTAGCCAATGTCTGAAGAGCAGAGCTCATCAGGATGAAGTGGACGAGCATGGAAGTGGTTTCCGGAGTTTCTGTTGAAAGTGACAGGAAACTTCGAGAACCCTAGTGGTGATGGTTGTGTAACATGGTGAATGTAATTAATGTTGCTGAATTACAGGCTTAAAAGGATTCAAATTTTAGGGAGCTCTGGTGACCTAGTGGCAAGAAGCTGCACTGCAATCCCAGAGGTACACAGTTTGAATCCACCAGACGCTCTGCTGGAGAAGGAGGTGCAGTCTCCTCCTGTACCAGTCAGATCTGATTTGACAGTACACACACAAAAAATAAATTTTTTTTTAAAAATATTTCAAATTTTAAAAATATGTAATCTATGTTTTAAAGCAATAACATTGAAAACACAGAACATGCTAAGGGAGGGAAGTGGCTGAAAGACTGCATGCGGTGGGGACCTGGGTGTTGGGCTGGAGTCTACATGTTGGGATGTGGTACAGATGTTGGAGTGGGAGTCAGGGCATTGGGGTGAGGTCTGGATGTTGGGATGAGGTCTGGAAGGCGAGGTAGGGATCTGGGTGTCAGGGTGAAGTCTGGGTATTGGTGTGAGGTCTAGGTGTTGGGTGTGGGATCTGGGTGTTGGAGTGGGGTCTGAATGTTGGGGTAGGGTGTGGGTTATGGGCTGAGGGTCTTGATGTACTCTATAAAGGCTGTTGTTATAAGACCCTCTCATCCCGTCCTCCGTGGCCAATCCGCCCAGGTACTGGAGAGTTGCTTTTCTCACCCACAGCCTTCACCTCTCCCCTGCCCCCTACATTTCCTGCAGCCCAGAACAGCTGGGGGCCCAGACCTCCCTTCCCCTGAGCACCCCACCCTTCTGCCTGCCTCCCCAGGGCCTGTGCTTTAATGCAAGTGCCTTCGTCTTATACCTCTCGGCCGCAGTGGTGGATGCGACCTCAGTGTCCCCGGAGAGAGACAGCCACAACTTCAACAGCTGGGCAGCCTCCTCGGTGAGTGAGCCCCCTCCCCCACTTCCCCCATCAGCTCTGACTCCCAGATGGGGCCCGCCTGGGACCAGGGGGAGACAGTCCTACGTAGCAACAGGTGCCATCTGCTGTCCTGGCTCCTCCTGGCAGTTGGCTCATTGATCTGAGGAACATCCAAAGTTGCAAGACTTACTAGTGGCCTGAGGGCAGAGAGCCGGACTGGGCGGGAGGGAGGCCAGGTGTGTGTCTGGAGGATGAAGAAATCTGAGGCCTTCTGAGGAGAATTCTCCTGCCTGGTGTTTATTAAGTAGTAGGAGGCAGAACGCTACAGAAATCAAGCACAGCATGAGCCTATTTGTTTTAGGCTTTAAATAGAAATGATTATGCAGTAAAAATGCCTTGGGAAAAAAAATGTATGCCAACAGAGGTTCCTTCCGGGGTAGAGGATGCAGGAAGTGGAATGAAATACTTTTTAATTTATATGTTTCAGTACTGTTTGTACTTTATTTTCTTCCTAAATTTTTTTAACTGTAAAAGTATACTCTTTTTCTCATTTGATGAATTTCTCTGAGATTGGCCTTAAAATACTCCAAACTCCCAAGAGAAGGAGAAATGAGGTGCTCACAATGAAACAGAAGAAATGTAAAACAATGTTAATATGAAAGTTGATCAGTATGTACATGGAGGTCATTGCACGCTTTACCTTGTATTTTTAAATCTCCGTTTTACGTTCTTTCTTTCACATTTGAAAAAGCTCTACTTAAATTCAGTAGGAAGCTGTGGTGGCCTACTGGTAGGGAGTTGCTCTACCAACCCAAAGGCGTGTGGTTCAAATCCACCATCTGCTCTTTGGAAGAAAGATGGGCAGTCTCTTCCCATGCAGTTTACAACCTCTAAAAAAACCACTGGCGGGTCAGTTAGGAGTCAGGTCAGCTCAGGTAAGGAAAGAGGTTAAAGTCAGAGCAGGTGCACACAGGTTCGAGACCACACGCTTCGACCACCCCGGGCCCACGTTAACACAGGACCACAGCTGGCCGGAGCCAGGCAGTGACCATCCCTTAAGGAGATTCTGTATGTGTCCCTGTCAGTCAGCATGCACACCACACCGGCCACTGGACTCGTGTCTGAACCCGGCCCACTCATTTTGCTTATATTAACTGGCCCTGGAGCAGTCTCTCATTGACCCTAAGCTAAAATTGCCTGCACTGAATTAGAAGTGTGTGTCCTGTCACAGCGACCACACCGCCACCATCCTAACCCCTGAGTGAGCTCCCTGAGTTCTCAGCGAACCTATAGGCTTTCAGACGGGCTCCAAAATATAAAACTGCAAAACCAGCATCATTGGAGAGGGAAGGTAATTGAACCAATAAAGTGGTTTGAGATTATCGGGGTGCGGGGAGGATGCTGGATTCACAGGAGATGGAACTATGACTTTTCCTAATTAGATCCCGTCCTAACTCCCCTCTTTCTGTCATGCTTTCTTCTCGCCAGTTCTTTGCCTTCCTGGTGACCATCTGCTACGCTGGAAACGCCTACTTCAGCTTTATCGCGTGGAGATCCAGGACCGTGCAGTGATTTGCCATTTTGATAATTTACAAGGAAAAAATAATAGGCTCCTCACTGGAAAGCCCCCCAGCTGTAGGCCTAATGGATGTTTCCAGAGACTTGTATTTAAGATGTTTTACATCTTTAGTTAAATTTGTTACCGTTAAAGTGGACACTTGTTTGCAAAATTCTGCACCCTAAATGATGAACTCTTAAGTTTACTATTGAAGTATGGATACCCTGTTTTCTTAGGCAATGTATAATAAATAGGTAAACTGCTAATATTAAGAATGTATCGCGTTTGTAATGCTAATTTTTAAAATGCCAGATATGGTTTTTTGTTAACTATTTCAAAATGTTAGGTATTGAGGTGGCTGTTTGGGAAGGTCACTGCTGATGCCAGAGGCTGGACGGGTGAGGAAGTGGTCAGTGGTGAAGCAACGGGGTGGGAGGGGCACTGGCCCCGCTGCCAGAGCGGGAACAGGGTTCCTCTCCCCACCTCTGGGCATCCTCAGCGTCCAGGTGCCCCACTGCTAACAGCATCTACAGAAACAAGACCCTGGCTTTGGAAGTTAGGACACCAGGTGAAGACTCAGCTCATTGCTGTCCTGACAGAACTAGACCCGAAGCTGACCCTCCAGAGGGTTTTGAGAGGCTCTAAATCACACGGGAGATTGCCTATCCTTCTCCTGTGGAACAGGTGGTAGATTCAAACCACCTGCCTTTGGGTTGGCAACCCAATTCTCTACCCATCTGTAAATGACTTAATAGAAACGTTACAGAATGAATACTCTCCCAGGCGATTTCAACAGACAGTCAAATCTGTTCTGACTCGATGGCACACAACAATGGCAAAGGAGTTTTGAAAAATTTAAAAATGTTTATAGGGTCCAAGTGTGGGGGGCAGGCTCCCCCTAAGTCCAACAGTCAGCAAGGCACAGGAAGGTCAAGTTCAGCAACACAGCCCTACAGATGTTGCTGCAATTTCTTGAGATGCTGCATTTCTACCCTCTGACTTGATGGTTTTGCAAGAAAAGCTGCAAGTCAGAGTTTATATGTTCTGCTTTTCTGTCTTACCGTCTCTTGCTCCCACCCCATCCAGGTGTGCAGGCACACTTTCATGGCCCCTGAGGGTGTGTGCATGCACGCACCTGCAAAGCATATAGAATATAAAGGCTGGAGGTACCTTGGAAGAAAGGCCTGGCAATTACTTAAAAAACATCAATTACAGAAAGCCCTGTGGAGGATGACCCTACCCTGACACACTTGAGGTCACCACGAGTTGGCATCAACTCAATGGCAGTTGTTCTCATTTGTGTTTCTGGCTAAGCAGGTCTAGACTAAACTGGTGGTGGTGGTGGTGGTGGTGGTGGTGGTTGTGGTTAGGTGCCCTGAAGTCGAGTATGGCCCGTAGCAGATCTGAACCCTGAGCCCTCTCCTATCCTGTGCCATCCTCCTCATCCCTGACATACGTGAGCCCATTGCAGCAGTCACTGTGTCAAGCCATCTGGTTGAAGGGCGTCTTCTCATTGACCGACTGTCTACCTTTCTAAGTATGATGTCCTTCTCCAAGGAATAGCCTCTCCTAGCAAAATGCTCTAAGTCTGTGAGACGAAGTGTTAACATCTTTGGCTCCAAGGAGCACACTGGCTACATTTTCTCCAAAACGTGTTTGTTCTTTTGGCCACCCATGGCATAGTCAGTCCTCTTCTCCAGCACCGCAGCTCAAAGACATCCATTCTTCTGTCATCTTTATTCATTGTCCAGCTCTCAGATGCACAGCAAGTGATTGAAAAGACCATGGCCTGAATGAGGCACCCCTTAGTCCTCAAACTGACATCACTGCGCTTCAATAATTTGGGTAGGTCCCTGATTGCAGACTTTCCCAGTGCAATATGTCTCCTGATCTCCTGACTGCTGGTACCCAGGATGTTAATTGTGGATCCAAGTAAGACAAAGACATTGACAGCTTCACATTTTTCCCACCTCTCATGATGTTGCCTATAGGGCCACTGGTGAGAGTTTTTGTTCTATTGATGTTGAGATGTAATCAATATTGATGGTTGTAATCTTTGATCTTCAACAGCAAATACTTCCAATCCTCCTCACTTTCAGCAAGCAAGGTTGTGTCATCTGCATAACACAGGTTGTTGATGAATCTCCGTCTGATCCTGATGCGACATTTCTTCTTCACAGAGTCCAGCTTCTTGAATAATTTGCTCAGCATACAGATTGAATAGGTATGGAGAGAGAATACAACCCTGATGTATACCTTTCTTAACTTTAAACCATGTAGTGTTCCCTTGCTCTGTTCATGCAACAACTTCTTGGTCTAGATAGAGGTTTCGAATGGGCATAATTAAGTGCTTTGGAATCCTCATTCTTTTCAATGTAAACTAAAATTAATGATCTACAGAGCCAAATGCCTTTGCGTAGTCAATAAAACACAAATAGACTTATTTCTGGTATTCTTTGCTTTCATCCAGGATCCATCTAACATCAGTAATTATATCCCTGGTGCCTCAGCCTCTTCTAAATCCAGCTTGAACTTCTGGCAGTCCTCTGCATAGGTACTGTTTTGAATTATTTTCAGAAGTATTTGCTTGCTTATGGTACTGATGATACTGTTAGATAATTCCTACGTTCTGTTGGATAACCTTTCTTGGGAATGGGGAAAAATATTGATCTCCTCCTGTAATTTGGCCAGAACAGCTGTCCTCTAAATTTCTTGACTGGTGAGCATGTTCAGGGCTGTATCTGTTAGTTGCAACATGTCAGTTGGTATCCCCTCAACTCCTGGGGCCTTAGTTTTGCAAATGCCTACAGCACAGCTTGAACTTGTTCCTTCAAGGTGTTTACATTTACATTTTTTATGTGTGTCCAGTTCAGTGGTAGTAATTACATCAATAGTAGCTTTCACTACTATCCAGCCCTGGGAGGTGTTTAAGTGCTTTGTGCTGCAAACAAGGTTTCATAAAAGGCACAAAATCAGCAACACTACAAGTGTCAGTTCTGGAAACAGTCATAAAGAAAGCAGCATGTGTTTATATTGTGTATATTTTTGTGTTTCTATGATATTTACAGTCATGGTAATGTTTACAGCAAACAACTTCTGAGGTAACATGAGCTGTAAACCACAGTTAGAAATGTTCTCAGGTTGTGATTTCAGATCTATTACTGACCTGTCGTCCAAGGGCCACTTGTACTGTTGTTGTTGTTGTTGTTGTTGCTATGTGCCGTTGAGTCGCTTACGACTCATAGCGACGGTATGCACAGCAGCCTTGAACTCTGCTCTGTCCTGTGCCAATTGCACCGTCTCCAATACACCCATCTCAATTACCCCAGTCACTGAATCAATCCACCTCATAGTGGGCCTTCCCCTCCTGCACTGTCCCTCCATCCTACCAAACATGATGTCCCTCTCCAAGGACTGGTCCCTCCTTACAACATGTCCAAAGTATGTTAGATGGAGCCTCAGAATCCTTGCCTCCAAGGAGCCGCCCGTTTTGACCCTTTCCAGGATGAATCTGTTTGTTTTCCCAGCAGTCCATGGTACCCTCAATACTCTTCTCCAGCACCGCAGCTCAAAGGCATCAATTCTCCTTCTATCCTCCTTAGGATAGAAGGTCATTTTCCAACTCTCTGATGCATAACAAGTGATAGCAAAGACCATGGCCTGTATCATGGCCATTATTACAATCTTATCTTCATTTGTGGTTTTTGAGGAGCCAGGACCCTTTGTGTTTTCCTGAGAATTCACTACAAGGGGCTGGGAGAAAAAAAGACATTTGTTTTTAACTGAATTAAGGTTATTATTTCCTCTTTTGAATACCGAGAGACTTTCTTTTTGAATAAATCTTTAAATGTGGTTTTGAGGTATAAGATAAAACAAGTGTCCATTATTCTGATGAAGTTCTAATTTTGGACATGAATTTACTTCGGTTATTTTCTTTAGAAATAAAGAGAGAAGGGGCAGTAGGGAGCCAGAGAACACAGCCAATGGAACGAGAAGACTAGATAGGGCTGCGGGGTCTTCAAGCCCAGGGACAAGGAGAAGGGCCTGTGTGTTTCAGCTCACCCACATCTGTGCTCTTCCGACATTCCACACCTCCCTCCACCGGCTTCTCCCGGAGGATGGAACTGGGCTTGGGGGCTTCAACTGGATGCATTTACCGATTTATGACCAGTTAATAAAATGACTCGGGCAATTGATCTTTCTCCATGGCTATTTCCAGCTCATTCCCCAAAAGACAAATATTTAGCAAATAGTTGGCAATTTTAAGAAAATGTACTGACTGGGATATTCACTACCATTTATTCTTGTGACTTTTTAAATTGTCTCTTTCCTAGGAAATACCCTGCGGGGAATCAGTGCACACACGTAACTTCTATGACGCCAAACACCTTCCGCCAAAACCCTGTCCTGTTTTATTGTTGTTAGGTGCATTGTAGCCGGATACAACTCAGGCAACCCCATGACCTGAGCCCTGTCCTGTTCTCTGCCTTCCTCATCATTTCAGACACACCTGAGCCCATTGCAGCAGTCTCTCTGCGAATCATTGGGCGCTTTCTGTAACTTTACTCCTAACTTAGAACCATGTACTTTTGAATCTTCCTGTTCTCAGTCAGCAGTACTGGAAGAATTACTTCACTCACCTTCGTAACTGTTAGCATACAATTCATGTCTGGAAATGGAATATTGTGGGAACACATGTATGAAGGTCAAGTTAACAAATGCTTTTTAGACTTAACTCTCTCTCTGTGTGTGTGTGTGTGTGTGTGTGTGTGTGTGTGTGTGTGTGTGTGAGAGAGAGAGAGAGAGAGACAGAGAGAGAAGGCTCCTCCCATAAAGATTTACAGAACCGGATGGAAGGTCACTGTCTATCAGCTGGAATCAGCTTGTCAGCTGTGGGCTTGGGATTTAGGGGTGAGTCGGCATTTAACCACCCTCACTTTTCTGCAGGGAGCCCTGGTGGCGTAGTCCTTAGGGAGCGGTGCTGCTAACCCAAAGTCTCTGCCTCTAGAAGTTC